CTATTTGCAATTTTTGGCCATTCAAGTATGTTTAAAAGATGTCTTATAACATGAAAATCACAAACTATAGCACACAATCAAAAAGTTAATCTGTTCACTTCAAATAATTATTCAAAAGGCTAGGGCTATTTTAAATACATTACCTCTAACAAAACCTTCTGTTCTAAGTTTTTGTAAGTTCTGTGAAGCAGCTCCTTTGTCCCAAGAACTCCATACCACATCATATTTTTTGTACGACTTCTGGTAATGGAAAATAGAAGTAAAATTAAATATATCAAAATTATCACTAAAAATGTCACCAATACTTATACAACAATAAATATTAAAAGAAGCATAGAATTATATTTGTAGTTAATAGGGAAAAAAGTTTAAGACAATCTAAAATAGATTGCAGTACCTGCATTTCTCTGGATGTTCATCACGCTTGTTGTTGAAATCCAAAGAAATCTTTGCATCCAAGCCAATTCCAAAATAATTATTCATGACACATTTCTCTATGTAGCAATCACTGCAAGATGAATTATGTCATAAACAAATTGTTTTCATGTGATGGTATAGTGTAGTATCCTCTCTACTTTCTATCCACTTGCAACACTGTATTTATTTATTCATTTCCTTACTTACTTATGTACTTACTTACATTCCACTCAACTCACTCTTACAAAAACTCTGGATGGCATCCTACACACACACACACAGGTACACACTCACAAAAATGACTTCCATTGAATAAAGAAGCAAAAAAAACTAAAAACAAAGTAGAAACAATATATGAATTTGTTCTTGGAGATATCAGAAACGTGGTTGGCCAAAAATTGAAAATAAAGAGAAATATAGTGAACAGTGGTGGTGTAAACTATGTCCTCTAGCTTTATCCTGTTTCTAATTTATTTTGCTTACTCAGTGTTATTCTTTTTCTGAGCTCAGTATGTTCAACCTGATTGTTGTAATGGCTACGTATCTATCTATGCATATAATTTAAAGATATTTTCAGCCTTCTTTGTACTCCAGCTAGTAACAAATATTACATATATAACATCCTTATTTTAACTTATATAGTTAGTAATGAGAATATCTATTTCCTTTATTGCTATCTAAACACTCACAGATTTTCTGGCTCAGGATTAAATGGATCTGCGTTGATCAATAACCGGCTGATGACAGAACCTCCTGGTAGAGAACCAGATGTCCCAGCACGGATATCTGCCAATAGAATGCAGAAGTTACAGCAAATACTATACAGGAAGTGTGGCAGAACAAAGAAGATTTACAAATTAAGTTTACCTGCAAAATCAACAAATTATTACTTCTAAGTATGAAAGATCATCTCACGTTTCTACTATTGTTGAAAGGTAAAGAAACAGAACTTGATTTTTTTAAATAAAACAATTAAGTTTAGTACCAGTCCTACACACAAAGAGATTCCAACACTTTTTCCTGTATTTTCCCTGTATCTTCGAACGGAAAGCTGTAAACGATTTCTACGTATCTTTGAAAGCAAAGTTTGTTTCACTGTTTTCAAACATTGTCCTGATTTAAAACAGCACATGGTGTTAACTGTATCTGTATTTAACAAGGATGATTTTTGCAAAACAACTATAACGGTGGATACATTTTCTGGACCTCATAGTGATTAAGGTTATTTGATTTATGTGATCACCGCTGACTATCTGAAACAATGTGAAATACAGTAGAAAAACATTCATTTGTATAATCATGCAATCCTATTTCAATTAGATGGGAAGAGTGCTATTGAACTCACGGGGGTACAGGATCTTTGCATTCAACATTGGCAAGCTGTCCCGGTTTCCTGCTTGTGGAGGAAGAGAGGCAGAGCTTCCTACTGATATACTTCCTTTACTTATTAGTCTTTCACAAGGAGACTTGATTACTGAAAAATATAAAAAAGGCTTTAGAAACTACAGCATACTACAGCATACCACTAATACTATAAATATATAATAATAAATTATTTTCACCTATTTGTCCTGCCATTTGATCTGATCAAACCACTTCTATATTCACCACCCATTCATTCTTGATTCCATCACCGTTCTCTGAGCATGTGCACATGGACCCCCGCCCACGTGCACACATGCACAGTAGCTACCCAACGATTAGCGAGCGGGCGGGCGGGCGGGCGGCGCCTGTGCAGTGGGCCTGCTCTGGGGTGACGGCTCGCTTGCCGGCAGAGATAGCTCTTCGTGCCACTTCCAGCATGCATGCCATAGGTTCACCATCACTGATATAAGCTATATTATGACTGTGAGCTTGGTTGAAATTTCTTAACTTCTTAATTTTTAGTTGCTCAACTGAAGAAGAGTGACCACAAAAACATCAGTTCGTGCAGTCTATTCACAAAAAGTAGCTGTCTGGAATACCTGTAGGCAATCTATGATCTCTTGTTTATTGGAGATATTTTGCTAGCCAAAATTTGCCATATGGCAATGCTGTCCCTGCTCCTTGAGAGACATCTAGTTCACTATGCATCCTCACCAGATATTCTTTTCTTTTTGAGTAAACAGCAAAAGGATAATTAGAAATTTGAAATCCAAATGGGTTTGAAATAAGATTTTGAAATCAATGGTAAGAATCCTTCCATTTTTAAAATTCTTTTAAAAAGACCTGCAACAGTAATAGCACTTATACTGTATACCACTTCACAGTTCTTAACACCCCTCTCTAAGCAGTTTAGTGTCAGCATATTGCCCCCAACAATCTGGGTCCTCGTTTTATTGACCTCGGAGGAATGGAAGGCCGAGTCAACCTTGAGCTGGTGAGAATCAAACTGCTGAACTGCTAACAGTCAGCAGAATGAGTCTGCAATACTGCATTCTAACCATTGCACCACCATGGCTCTTATGATAGTACTATGAAGGTTGAACACTAGAGCTAATCAGAATGAAATAAAGATGGCAACTGAAGGCTTCCAGCTGGGCACTGCATTGATACGGAGCTGAGGAGCAGATCGCCGCTCTGAAAGGCTCTGATTTTCGCTGTTTGGTGGCTTCCAGGAGCGTGTTGGACCTCGGAGGGGTAGACAGACGAAAGGGGAAGACTTGGAGATCTCGGGGAGGTGCCACGATCCCGGAGATTACAAGAGAATCCCCTCAAAACCAGCAGCAGAAGAGGGAGATCGTACAGATCGGAACCATAGACGTGGCAGCCCAGCAGCTTAAAGAAGAAGGAAGAAAGCAAAGAGTGGAAAACAGCAAATTGAGTAGTGGAAAGGTGAACTTAAAGAAGATTTCCAGAATACTGATTTATACTACAAAGGGAAATTGAAAATTGAAACTCCTAACCGAACAGTGCAGCGAAGTGGCAGAAATATCGGAAGGAGTACTAACTAAAGAAACAGCAGTAATTTGTGCTGATTAATGGAATGCTGAAAACGGAGGAGTTGAAGGGTGAGACAATACAGTTTACTTTTACTTTAGGAGCTGAAAAGGGGGTTGTATAACTATATTTTTTGGTGATTGACGTTTGAGAATTGTGGGAAGAAAGAGAAAGTGACAGTGACGTGTCCAAGTGAGACAGAGAGATCGGAAGAACAGCTGAGAGTAAAAACTTGAAAAGAGAACAATTGACACTGTAAAAGATTTAAGGAAAGGATTGAGGAAAAAAACCTTATAATTGCAATATTTGTCTGATAACTGTGATAAAGAAAAAAGGAAGAAATAAGATAACTAAGACTTATAAATGGAACTAGGACTGTGTGGAGAAAAAGCATAAAGGAGCAAGAAGAAGAAGAAGCCAAAATAGAAAGGAGAAGCGAAACGGTGGAAGTGACTGTGCAAATTTAAAGAGGACATTTTGAACTCGAACTAAGAACTGTAATAAGGTATTTATCAAAAAGAAGAAGAAGAAGAAGAAGAAGAAGAAGAAGAAGAAGAAGAAGAAGATCATCATCATCATCATCATCATCATCCATGGACATCATTCAACTGGTCAATCATAGATGTAACTAAATAATATTGGTAAAACATAATCTTAATAGATATATATGTGTTAGAATATTGAGTTAAGAATACTGGTTAATAATTTTTGAATAACTGGACAATTGAAAGTGTGTTGTATAAATATAGAACTCAGACCTTCAAATACTAATCATATAGTAAGAAATTGAAGTATTTTTATTCTGAGGTAAGCATATAATTAAGAACTTTAAAGAAATAGATTGATATTTATATATAGATAAGAATTTAATTACTTTAATGAATTGGCTGCTTTAAATTAATTAATTAATTAAGCATATAAGACTGTTGATTTTGTGAGTAAATATATCTGTATTTGATTAATATTGAATTCTCTTAACTATTGTAATAGTTGAGTAAGTTCAATAAGAAAAAATAGAAATAAGAGCTGATTGTGATTTTCCATAATAGAATTTTGGTAATTAATAATATAATAAAATATGTATTAGTATTACTATTGAACTGAAAAGGAGAGGAAAATAGTGCTCTACTAGGGATAGTTGATGGTAGATTGGAAAGAGCTGCTACAGATAGTTAAAATGGCGACAACATCAATTACAAATGTAAAATCGGGAAAGAAAACTACAACAACGATATCTTCACCTAAGGGGCAGAGATCTATAAATGCAATGCTATTGGCAGAAAAAACTGATTCAGCTCAAAGCCTGCAGACAGTACAGGCAATGCTCACTCAACCTTCATCTTAGGTTCCAAAATGTGGTGGAAGACAAAAAGGAAGATTTACGTGCAATTACGACGAATCTGATAGCGGCGGCTTTACAGAAACCCAAACTGGAAATTGAAAATGATGTAGACGAGGTCTACAGAGTAGGATGCAGGAAATGATGGCAAAAACCAACGCATTGATAGCGAAGAACCACGAAGATATGAAAACAGAGATGAGAACTGAAATAGGACAAGTGAAAAATGAATACAAAATTTGAATAGTAAGATTGGAAAGATGCAGGAAAAAGTGATAAAAAATGAACAGAAATTAAATTTAGTAGAGGCAAGAATGGAGATGGTGGAGAAGAAATTAGAGGATTTAGAACAAAATTGGAAAGTGCTCTACTGAGAACTCCGGGATTCGATGGTACACGTGGAATTAGAGAAGGCATCATTTCATCTTAGGTTCCAAAATGTGGTGGAAGACAAAAAGGAAGATTTACGTGCAATTATGACGAATCTGATAGCGGCGGCTTTACAGAAACCCAAACTGGAAATTGAAAATGATGTAGACGAGGTCTACAGAGTATATACATACTATGCGAGGAGACATAGACTACCCCGAGAGGTTTATATTCGATTTGCGAGGAAGATAACACGAGACCTGCTCTATAGCAAGACCAGAGATGAACCACTTGTACACAAAGATCATGAAGTGGTTACACTGAAACAAATATCTAGGAGAGTCAGAGAGCAGAGAAGGGGCTACCAATTTTTATCAACTCAGCTTATTAGAAATGGTATTCCATTTAGGTGGCTCACCCCAGAGGGGCTTTTAGTTTCATGGCAGGACAAAAAATACAAAATTGATACAATTGAAAAAGCACAGGAATTTCGTGAACAACACCTAGGACCCGAGGAAGAACAAGAAAGTAGAGACGACCTAAATACAAGAAGCCAAAGGAACAACTCTCTGGAGAAAAAGAATCTGATTCACACTCTGAACCCCAAAATCTTAGAGAAGGGGAAGGCAACAGACTAAGAAAAAGAGAGCCTAGAACAAGAAATGAAACGAGAAATGCCTCACACAGTCAGTGACACTGATAGAGAAATCACTTTATTTTCAGTCAATATCAATGGTTTAAATCTATCATCAAAAAGAAAACAGATATTTGAGAAACTTAAACAAAACGCTGACATAACTTGTATCCAAGAAGTGCATATTCCAGACAATCAAGCAGACCTCTTAAAGAATATAAATTTGGGTACAATGTACTCAGCACTTGCAAACAAAAAAAGGGGGGGTATTGTGGTATATGTAAAGGATTGGTTGCAACATAAACAAATATACAAAGATCAAGAAGGGAGAATGCTCTTTATAGAAATAAATGTAAATCAGAAAAAGATGTTATTAGTCACAATATATGCCCTGAATACAAACCAAAAAGACTTTTATAATAGGCTTCACCATAAGATAATAGAATTTGAGTATGCTAATGTATGCAATGTAGGAGATTATAATGCAGTCCCAGACAAAGATAAAGATTACAGAACTCCCCCACCCCCCCCAAAAGGAAAGGAGAATACTCCCTTCGTCTTTTAATAATATGGTAAGAGAACTTAACTTGAAAGATGTGTGGATAGAATTAAATCCAAATAAAAAACAATATACCTTTTTTCTGAACCCCCACCACTTTTGGTCCAGAATAGATCAGATATGGATGGACCCTGGGTTAATGGAGAATATTGAAAGGATCGAGATTTTGCCAAATCTATGGGCTGACCATAATCCCATTCAAATTAAATGGAAAGGAAAGAGAAAAATTGGAAGATGGACATTTAACAATACCTTATTAAGAGATAAAGAATATATTGAAATGATAAAGAAAGAATTGAACGCATTTTTTGAAATAAACAAAAGAGAACATACCTCTCCACAGAATCTTTGAGATATGGCCAAAGCCTATGTGAGAGGTCTAACTATTACTTATAGTATTAAAAAGAATAAAGAAAAAAGACAGCAACAAAATATATGGAGGGAGAAACTGAAAGATTTGGAAATAAGTAAACAAAAGGACCCAAACAATTCAAATATTAAGAAATTGATCTGGTAAAACATAAAATAAATTTAAATGTACAGGAAGATTTGGCCCGAAAAATTAAATTAGCAAAACAAAATTATTTTGAAAACGCAAATAAGCCGGGGAGGTGGTTAGCCCATAAAACTAAAAAAGAACAAGAAAAGAGAACAATCATAGCTCTCCAAGATCAGGAAGGGAAATTATGCACGCAGACCCAAGAAAAGAAAGAAATTGCTAAGGAGTTTTTTATGAAATTGTATAAACAGGAAGAAATACCAGAAGAATCTATTGATCAATATTTGAATGAAAAGAACTTGCCCGAAATTACTGATGAAGAGAAACAAAATTTGAATAATAAAATATCTATAGAAGAAATTGGGAAGGCAATTGGAACACAAAAAGCAAATAAGACCCCTGGCCCAGATGGAATTCCTTCGGAGTTCTATAAGGAATTCCAAGAAACAATAGAGGAGATATTGGTGGACTTGAACAATGAAGCCCTGGAGAATGCTAACATGCCTAAATCATGGTTGGAAACATATATTACCCTTATTTATAAAGAACAATCAGACCCACAAAAAATTCAAAACTATAGACCAATATCACTTTTAAATGTAGATTACAAAATAATGGCTACAATATTGGCGGAAGATTAAAGAGAGTATTAAGTAGAATTATCCACACTGATCAGAATGGCTTCCTCCCCCATAGGCCAATAAAAACAAACACAAGAACCATTATGGATATATTAGAAGATTATGAAGTATACTCAACCAAGACAATGGCATTGATATTTTTAGACGCCCAGAAGGCTTTTGACAACCTGAATTGGAACTTCCTTATTAAACAACTGATAGGCATGAAATTTGGTGAAAATTTTATAGGATTTATTAAGACAATTTATAACATGCAAACTGCAAAAATATTAATAAATGGGGAAAATACAGATACCATAAAGATAAATAAGGGAGTAAGACAAGGCTGCCCCCTAGCTCCTCTACTGTATATATTGGCAGAAGAGACTCTCTTAGCACAAATTAGGCAAAATCAAGAGATTAGAGGACTAAAAATTTAAAAAGAGGAATATAAACTCCAGGCATTTTTGTAGAATTAAACAAATGTATATCTAAATTTATATGGCAGAGGAAAAAACCCAGAGTGAAATATAAATTATTACAGGATGCCAAGAAAAAATATAGATTTGGCCTTCCAGATTTTGAATAATATTATGATGTTGCTATAGTAAACTGGCTTAAGGATTGGGTTAAATTAGAAAATAGAAGGTTATTAGTATTAGAAGGTTTTGATCTCCAACTTGGCTGGCACGCCTTCATATGGGATGGAAAATCTAAACAACATTCATATTTCCAAAGGTACCATGTAAGAAATGTATTGTTCAATATCTGGGGAAAGATTAAAAAAAACCACTACCCAAAGGTTCCATTGTGGATATGTACATTGGAAGCAGTCACATATCCAAATCTATTGGATTATGAAAATATTCTCAGGTATAAAGATTTACTATATGATACTGGAGAGCTTAAAAATAGAAACCAAATACAAATTCAAGGAAAGGAGATAGCATGGTGGCCCTTTGCACAAATTCAGACCCATTATAAAAAAGATAGAGAACAATTTGGCTTTAATATGACCTCACAAGAATTAGATAAAATATGGCTAGGAGAGGAAAAGAAAACAATTAGTAAAACATATAAATATCTTTTGGATTACAAATTAAAAGAAGAAATAATAACAGAATCTATGATAATTTGGGCTAAAAATGTGGGTCATAGTATTGAATTAGATAAGTGGGAACACATCTGGCAAACAAATTACAAATTAACCATGTCCATCTCGTATAAAGAAAACTTATACAAAATGGTTCATTCCTGGCACCTACCTCCTGCGAGACTGGCTAAGATGTTCCCCAACCTACCACCCAACTGTTGGAAATGTAACTACGCAGAAGGAACATATTTTCACATCTGGTGGACTTGCCCATGTGCTCAGAAGTTTTGGAGAAATATTAGAAATTGGATTTTAAATATAACAAAACAAAATTTAAAACTTGAACCCGAAACCTTTCTGCTAAGTGTGATAGATTTAAACATGGAGAAAAGATATCAATATTTAATTTTGCACATCATAACTGCGGCCAGAATAACCTATACACAAAACTGGAAACTGTCTTTAATTCTTTCAGAGGATATGGTAATTAAAAAAATACATGAATGTGCTGAGATGGATAGCATAACCAAATTGTTAAAAAATAAACAAGATAGTGACTATTATGAAATATGGAACATTTGGTATGATTGGTTAAAGAAAAAGTAATATTTGATATTTGGATAAGTTATGGAAATGACAGAGACGTGCATTTAATTATAAACTATATAGAGAAATTAAAACATTAAAAGAACGAAGGAGTTATTGTAACAAGGCAGATCACGTCAACGATGAAGATAAAGAAATTTTGTTTTAACCATATATATGTTGATTTGTCTGTTTTAAATGTATGTCAAATAAATGTTTTTTTTTCTAGAATAAAAAAAAAGATTGCAACTGAAGAAAAGTATACTAAAATTTGACTTAATACAGAACAGAACAAAATGTTTTAATATTGGATATACTGAAGTACAGGTACCTCTTGACTTACAACCATTCATTTAACAACAGTCTGAACTTATGAGGGCCATAGAATGGGGGTTTCATGGCCTATAAAATACCTCTGGCCATTGAAAAATGTTGCAGCACTGCCAACCCAGCAATCACGTTTGCGATCTGACTGTTCGCACTTAGGGCCGGTTGCCAAGTGCCCTGTGATAGTGTGATTGCCACCTGCAATATTCTCTACTGGCTTTCCCAGAAAGTTAATTAGGAAGGAAGTCAACAGGGAAGGTTGCAAGCTGCTGCTGCTTACCATAGAGTTGTGAGTCCCTCCTTGCAGGCACCTCTTTGAGAGAGAAAAAACTACCTGCTGGGAGGGAATTTTAGCTCTGTATGGAGGTGAAATTACAAATCCAGTTTCAGGTAGTTTACACTTTCTTCTATTATCTGAAGGAAGGAGAATTCCTCTGGCAGGCTGCAGAAACAGAGCTCAGATCTTGAAGATCTAAGCTTCGTTCCTTTGGAAGAGTTCCCTTCTGTGTAGCTCTTTTGTTTTATTAAAACCAGAATAATCTATTAGTTAAGTTGATATAATCATTCAGCAGAGATCATACAGCACTTGAAAAGAACAAACTTTTATGAAACTTGTCAAGTAGGCTCTAGAAAGATACTTATAAGGAAACTGAAGATAAATAGCTTGGTCTACAGAAGAAGTTTACCTTTCCGATGGCTTCTCCCTTTTGGAAATCCATAGCTGCCAATGTGTGAAGACTGTAAATTGATTTTGTTCTCATTCCTTAGATCCTTTCCTTCTTCAGCAGTTGAAAATCCCAGAAGAAAGTTTGCCTGTTCTTGGGTTTGAGCATTTTGTTCATCAACAGCTAAAAAGTAAAACAGAAATAGAGTCAGGTATCTTTGCTCATGCTGTATTGAAGTTAGCTTTATTGAATGGAAGAATGCTCAAATCACTGGTTATCTTGCTTTTATCATTTGCTTTTAACAATACTCCCTACAAGATAGATTGGGTTGCTTATTATTTTTTAGTAAATATGCAGTGCAGTGTAAAGTTGTTCTTGTGAAAGTTATAGTATGGTGGACTGGGACATATTACCAGCAGCAACAACTACAGCGTAAGGGTGAAAGATTTCAACCCCATTCTATACAAAATATCTGCATCAGTGGAGAAGATAGCCAATGTTCCATCAAGAAAAGGAGGAGATTATAGAACATACAGTAGTGGCACCAGAAGTAGCCTTTTAGCAATTAAAGGAAAAAAGTATGAAATTTTATATTTTATAAAAATATAGAGTGGTATTTGCTTTCAAGAATAAAAAATGTATCTGGAGAGATTGAAAATATTATTTCAATCTGGAATATAACTTCCTGTGCTGTACATGGATAGTTTGATACCCCATTGCTGAAAGTTGTTCTAAACAATAATGTGGTAGAACATCCAGCACAAGAGGACACTTAAGAGCAGTTTATAAAATCATTTTGAAAATGAAAACAATTTTGAAAATGCAAACAAATGAGGGAAACTTCTGGCATACCTAACAGAAGAGAGGGAGGAAAGTGATTAAAAATGAACACTGGAAAAGGGCTTCTGTACATACATAGCAAAGTCCAGAAGCTCTTTAAGTATCTGGACTGAAGTAGCATATCTGAAAGAGCCTTTTAACTAAAGCATTATAAACTGAAGCACCCTTTTGAAACTCTATACAGCATTTTTGGAAACCAAATAATTTTTTTTAAAAAAACCCACCCTTTTTATAGAAAAAAAAACACCATGTAAAACTGGGTTATAACTAGTAATAATGCATGATTATATTATTTACTATTCATTTATTTGGAATTAAAAATTAATAAATCACCAGGTCCAAATGCCACATTACCAAGAATTTTAATATTAGTAATTAATTATTTATACCATTTGATTCTACAGGAAAGTATTGTTACAGAGCTTAAAATGGATACAAAAAGTACATCCATTTATTATTGCTTTTATTCACATAATTTTAATGTTATTATCTCTTATTAATTATTGATTTTATTGCTATTACGTTTTATTTAAAAAAATATTATTTATGTATTGTATTGTTATACTGGAATCTGATTTTGAAAATCCTTAAAAAGCTGGTATAAATAATTAAATGAAATACAACCATGCTGAATCTTCTGACAAAAAAGCACTCATTAAAACCAGTCCCACCATTCTCAGCAAGTTACAAACATTTTGTAACTTGTAAATTATTGTCTGAAGACACTGGAGGGCACTTACTTGACAAATGTGAAACAAGACCTACTAAAGGTAAATTAGCTTGACTTTTATAAAGAGAATTCTTGCCTTGTTAAAACTTCTGGATGTTTTCAAGAATTGGTAAATATGAAGATATGATGCTTTGGTCTACATTGGACATCGTGACATTAGATGGATAGTCCAAATTTGCTATGAAATTAATTAGTTGCTTTAGAATAATATAATTTTAAAAACACAGCACTTCTATTTTAAGAATACAGCCCTTAAATCCCAAGTCTATAGAAAGATAATAAAAAGATAATTCTTTTAGGCAATGGCTGAATTACCTTTTTCTGCATGCTCAATAATTTGACGAATGGCTTTTTTTAGACTGTTGGCTCTCAGCATTAGCTGTTCGCGTGGTCTAAATATCTGAGTACGAGCAATACAGGATGACCCTGCTGACAGTTCAGTAGAAGTATCACAAGCAATGCCAGAACCATCACCATCTTCTGTTTCTTCTGCAATGGTGGGAGGTGGATTTGGCAAAGATGATGAAGCTTGAGATTCTTCATTTAGTGTCTTCAAAAGTGAGTCCAGCTTCTCTTTCAAAACAGAGCACTAAAAGTAGGAAAAAAATGTGTACAGTGATTGTATAGCATGGATCTATGTGTGTATGAGAGAAAGAAATGGAAATGTTTTTTCCAAATACCTTTCTGGCCATGACTTCTGACTCGTCTGAACTTTCTGGTGCTCTTTCGTATGCTTTCCCTACTCGAGCTACAAAATCTTTCACGGTCTCACAGAGCACCCTAAAGAAGGCAGAAGAAATATGCAGTAATAATCTGTTCTCTAGCTTCTATTAGATAAGCTTCTTCTTAGTACTTACTTGGCTGATGAGATGACTACCGAATGTTGGTCAGATGTCAAAATTTTGGATAAATGAGCAGCCACAGAGTCTTCATAGAAAAGTATCTGCTGTACCTTGTGAAAGTAGACAGAGAAAATTGAATTATTTCTGCCAAAATGCAAAACACAAAATTAGAACTAATCTGTACATGCTCAATAAAGATGGAGTCATGATTTCAATTTAATCTATGGGGAACATTATACAAGATAGCACAACTTGATAGAAAAGCCTCTTTTCTGATGGGGGCAGATTATATTAAAAAAAAAAAAAAATTACACCATATTCAGACAAGGGAAATGACTGCAGTAAAACAAGAATGGGGAACATGTGAACCTTTAGATGTAACTATATTGTGATTTGACAATTTTGGAATCTGAAAATTAAAAGATTTATCTTTATCTTCTCCTATTTTAAACTTCAAGTCTCTGTTCAATTATTTTGTTTAGACCTCTATGAATACTTTTCACCTACATAAAGCACCATAATCTCTCTTTAGTGCTCTGAAGATTATATATTTTAATGCTTTCACGTCATATGAATTTTTTGCTTTATTTTGTTTACCATATTACCTCAGTTTTCCAGCTTAATTTTATTACTTTATACTTTCTTTTGTTTAATAATTACTTACCTCAGAACTTTCACTAAAATCTTCAAGAACAGTAGTAGCTGATATTTGACGAGGGAGCTTTGTTTCGTAAACCATAATGCTCCATCTAGTAAAAAAGTAAAAAGTAAGTAAGTAAAAAAGATTTATTACACAAATTATTACAAATCAAATTCTGCTTACTATTAAAAATGCATAGCAGATACAGCTCATTTTGATCTTTATTGATTTGAGGTGCAAAATGTGTGAGTTCAGGATCAGTAAGCATGAATATTCACAGGTCATATATGTTTACCTACATATAGATAACATAAATAAATACACATGTATTATATTCATGCAGAGTAAGCACTGAAGTTCATTTTACCTACATTCAGTAAAATGGTCTTAAATTACCAGCAAAATATGACAGTAATATTTATCTAAAGCAATTCCTACTATGCTTAAGAAATTCTGAATACACAAGAGACATTAATCATAATTACTGTACATAGTCATTACCTAAGTATTGATGTTTACAGAAATCATAAAATTTTAAATACCATACTAAAAACAGAGTAATGCTTCTTAGTTTAGCATTTAATGCATAATTATTAAGTAGTATGTGACTAATATTGTTACAGAGCAAGACATATATCCTGATAATATTTTCAGACGTTACTATTCTGAATATTACCATTTATAATACCCGAGCAAATCAGATAATGCACATTAAAATTATAAATCAAACAAATTAGATTAATACTTTCTTTAAAAATATCTGTTTCGGTATTAACAGACATATACTTATTTTAGCTTGGAATAGAAGAGCTTTTACTTAACCATTTTCAGGACTACAGAATCGCATACTATAGCAACTGATCCTCCTATATAATCAAACTTTGTTAAGAGACTTGTAAAATTTAAGACATTTAAACATAATGCACAATTACTAATCATGTTGCAAATCAGATTCCATCTGGTAATGAAGAAATATATTCAAGCTTGCATACATAAAACTGTACCTCTAGGCCTTTTATATCAACTTTATATCAAGCTGATGTTCTTACTTAGGTCTTCCAAAGTGGCTGATCTTTTTTGGTGTCATGTTCAGATTCAGAGTGAAAAGTAGAGATAGTATATAATGTCATTTACCTATCAAGCATTTTGGTACTGGCCCTTTCCAGCTTTTCCAATATTTGAGGAAGCTGAGTATCATCATCACAAGCAGATCCCCAGCCTAACACACGTGCAAGGTCGTTGCCGGTACCTAAAGGCAAGACTCCCAACTGGCACTACATATAGGAAAGGAAAAATAAAAACATAGCATAACCAAAAGAGCTTCAGAGATAGTTCAGAGAAACTATCTAAGAGAAACACTGAAGGAACTCATTCTAATTTCATTAAAGCAGAAAAACACATGAAATAAAATTACATGATAAAAAGGTTAATGTGTCATTCATACTATATCCATAGTTTTGCATGTTCTCCTTTTTATTCTTTGCCAACTGGAGTTTCCTCAGTGAATATCTAATTTGTGCACTCCCTTTATATATATGGTATTTATTAAAATATTTTTTCTGATCATTCTTTTATTTGATCAAAAGGGCTTATATGAAGTCTTTTTTCATCTTTTCAATCCTCACTGTAATTTTAGGATTGCATGAATGCATTATTATATAATCTTTATTTTAAAATTTTTCTAAGTATCTAAAATTTTTGTTTTCCTTTTTTACAGGCCTGGCAACAAAACAAAGCTGCTATTTCTTAATAGGGGTGGATGGCAAACTAATTTTAATTACAGATGTTATTAACAGTGCGTTTAATCTCTGGTCAAAGTTTAACATTTTAATTTTATTGCTACAATGCTGTTGCTATTGTGTTTGATACAATAAGTATTTGTGCTTAATTAGGAGTACTTTCTAAGAAAATAGCAGCCTGGAATAACATGTCAGGACAGAAGTCCATTTGCCAGGCTGTTTATTTAAGCTAATTAACAACATGAGACTTCCCAATTTTATTATGAAAGTGTGGCTAAGGATTGGGAATTGCAATGATCTAAAAAATTCCTTATGGTGACCAACTCTGTATAAATTGACAGCTGTATAGGAGAGTACCTTTAGATTTTCAAGGATTTATGATTTTATCACTAAACCCCATACAAATCAATAAGCAAATTGCTGCAATCCGTGTTAAAATTGAAAACCCCATGTTTGCCATATAAACTTTCAAGTTCAGACACTTCATTATTTTTCATAACATTTTGGCATGAATGACATTTGCCTTTGGGGGGATTTATTCTTTTTCACATAGGGATAAACATTCTGGGATTAGAAAGGCACCTGTTTATGGAGACTGAGACTATCAATTTCAGAGAGAACCCATCCAACGCTTCCATCCCCACCACACACCAGAATTCGGAAAGTGTCGAATTTCTGAAATAAACGTAAACTGCACAGGGGAAAAAATACCATTAAAAATATTATTCAAATTTGAGAATGCTAGGAATTAAAATCCACTGTATTCATTTTCTGCACAGGAATAATGCAAAACATTTATTAGATTTGTTAATTAATCTGAATAAGTTCCGAGCTACAGGGTCATATAATTAACGGAGTACATCTTTATTAAGCAGTACATCTGCTTAAAAAAAACACCCAGTTTTTTGCATTCCAACACACACATGATATTATGGAGCCTTGTAAAGGAGAAGTTATTTTTATGCTAGATGTGAATGGAATAAATACACTTGCTTTGAATGAGCACTTGCTTTGCATGCAGAAGATGTTAAATTAAAGGCCCTCAGTGGCAAATTTTATGGTACCAGGCTGTATAAATAATTTGAAATGATGTAAAATATCTTCATAAGTATGAAATAATTCTTATTCAAAAACATAATTAAAAATCAATCAGAACAATTAAGGTTAAGGAAATGACAGCAGTTCTGAGAAGACTGCCTTTATGTTTAATATCGTCCATACCTATTGATAAAATATACTCACCAAAATAATCTAAGTAATAATGGCAGTGCAATATTTCTTAGGAACAAATTTTGATATATAAAGGTAAGCTCAATATAATTGTGGACAAAACATACCATTTTGTTTTGAGTCTGAAACAAACACACTGCATTTCAGAAGTTCAGACAAACCATTTTAGGAGGATTGTGAAGATTGGCAAAAGTACCAGGTTTCAATAAAAAGTCTGGAAGGTTGCTGTAACAGAATAGGGCAATGCTCTCTCCTTTTTCACTCTCTCTTCCCAATGCTCACTATTCACTCTTAGTCAGCATTCATTTATTCTCCTGTTCTCACCTATCTATTCAATCCCTTCAATTTCCCAGCCATTATGTTTTCCTATCTTTCTTGAACTATGTGCCATTCATCACTCAATAGTCCTATTTTTTTCCTGCTCTTCCACTGCTGAAAAACTTTGGTCTGTAACACAACCCCATCTCCAGATCAAACATATACGCTTTAGCTGTATGCCCACTGTATGCCCATATTTCAAACTGTTCCAAATTGGTTATTCTGAGCACAAGGTAAGAATGGTTAATTTTTAAAAATAGAATACAATTTGCCTACCCAAGATGAGGTCCTCCATTCATAAGATCAAAGACTTGTGCGGGATTTAACAGCTGTTTGAATCTTCGTAGGAACTTTACACCCTGGTTGTCTCCACTTTTTGAATTGACAAAGACCAACAAAGGGCTTGTACAAGATGGGGGACAAGTGGCTTTCCAAAAACCTGGGGGAAAAAACAATGATTGAGGAAGATTAATCATTAAACATTTATAGAAAATTAATTATAACTCTCGTTTTACCATTATGGCCTCACCTAAAAGATAAAACTAACTTTTAAAAATTATTTTAGAAGTAGTTTGAAACAAAAGTATATAAAATGCAGATCAGATTTGCAATAAAATGTTGCAGTGGAAAACCTTTTTAAGGGTCCAGATACCCAGAATATTCTATTTCTTCCTTCCAATCACCAGGTATTCCAGTTCTTTCATCTAACTATAGCTCAGTATGCCATAAGCAATAGATATGTTCAGTCATCAGAGAATACTTCTTAATTCCTGCTCTTGTTCTTTCTGTGACAACACTGACAAGTAGTAGCAACTGTAATGACTTACCATCAGAATCAATGCTGTTTAGAGCTGTGGGAGGGATGACAGACACTTTACAAAGGCCAAGGGGGCATTTTGTTGGCAATAGGTCTCTGCATGAGGTATGAACCTATAACAATAAAATCACATGCACTAAATTTTGTAGTGCCTGGTTTCTGACTTTTTATTTGCTTTTCTAATATTTTTCCCCACACAATAATACAGACATAAAATATCAAAATATTTATTATGTTTAAGATTTCCATTGAGGATACAGTGATACATCTAACATTGCTCGGTATTAGTGTACCACATAATTAAGGTATGCCTTGCCAAAACACAAGAGAGCCTATTAAGACAAGGCCATAGTTAAGTTTCAAATTCCAAATTTGAAAGAATTCAAGAACATTTATTACTTTTTCAAATGGGTTTTTTTTTTAACACGGCACTTGTAAACAAGCCAACTGTTTATTAAATCTCCTTTATTCAACTTAAGAAAATTCTTGGTGCTAACATTATTGCAGCTTGACACTCCTGGTCATAATTGTTCCACATTTTATTATGAATAGCATTTTCTCATAACTACCTAGAAGAATGGTATTTTGCAAAAAAGAAAAAAAACTTGAAATGCTTCCTCAACTTACAAAAATACACCTGTAACATATACCAAAGGAGAGCTGAATCGCTCAACAATGCACCATAATAACTTACCATGGCTTTGCACCAAAGACAACGCCAGTCTTGCAAGCGTAGGACACTGCCACATGTTTTATCACACACTGTACATTTGGCACTCACAGGTAGGTTTCCTTCCAGCCACTGATGTGGCATTGAAATCTGTTCAATCAGAATTAATTTTTTTAACAAGACAGGTTTAAGAACCATTACAATATAAACAGATATTTCTTCACAAATCCCTTATTTTATAACACTTTCAATAATAGCATATATTCAAGTAATTTGGAATACAAATCTGCCTTCTTAAATGCTTAAAATAGCTCTGGTGGATTATATAAAGATTGTAGGATAGAGCGCATATATCCAGGCAGATTTTACAAATCTGCTTGTCAGCTTACCAGTTCATCTGGTAATGTTCCCATGAAAACTAAATAGTAACTGTACTTTCTTCTTTTCCTGAAATTTCTCTTATGCTGCTATTTAGAAAAAATGAGAAACAAGGTACTCTTCCCTTGCTTCTTAACATATTCAAATATTAGTGCAACTTACAGAAATATATGTCTCTCTCTCTCTGTCTTCCCCTCCCTCCCTCCCTCCCTCTCTCTTCCCCTCCCTCCCTCCCTCCCTCCGTCTCTCTCTCACTCCCTAAGTCAGGAGTCTCACAAAGAAGGCAGGTTATATTTCTGCTAGGGTTTAAAAAAGGTAGGAAGCAGCAGCAGAGATTTTACTTGAAGCTCTTTTTTTAACAGCAGTATCAATTAGAGAAGCACTTCTATACCATACTTTATACATCTACCATGGGGCTCAAAGACCACAAAATATCTTTTTTCAGTCTCACTACTGCTAGGATTAACTAGGATTTATTGTTTACACACACATGAATGAAAAAAGGGATCACCTCTTCTTCAAGGCTTATTGAAGAATCAGGCAAGATATTCTTCAAATGTCTGTTTGGCATTTCTTTGATTATTACCTTGATATATTTCCATCATTTCAAGAGCACCAAAAATTTCTAACCTCAGGAGTAGCTGTCATTTTAAATAAACAGCATACAATAGTTTCCGAACTGGCTGAAGTGGGAACATCATAGAAATGTTAGAAGAAAATAAATACTCCTGCACTCCAGAAAGTTAAAAATATCCCTAACTGTCTTCGATATCTTTGGTAAAAAACCACTCTTTGAAAAATGTTATTTTACATACCCCATCTTCCTCTTCAATTATATCCTTCCCAATGGATGCCAGCGTTGTCCACTTGCAGTTATTAGTTGCCCGGACAGCACATCTCTTATGAGCCTTAAATTTGCACACTAACAACAACAAAAAGTGAGTGAATATTGGGAAAAGCACATAATGAATTAAGCTGTGAGAAATTGTATTTCCCATCTTTTGTATTCCTCATTTATGGTGTCTGTTTTTGTTTTATTTGGTTTTTTTTTTTTGGGGGGGGGCAGTATCTTACTTACTGGCAGAATCAAGAATTCATAAACTGGAAGCACATATAGAATCAAAACCTAACATGTTTTACTCTGTACTACAGCCATTTAATTTTTTATGAGTTTTATGAGTCTCTTTGCCAAATATCAGGATATGAAATCCAATACTTCTCTTTATTCTATTAAAATTATTTTTACTATTATTATCTATTTAATGGATAATAGATTTTATAAGTTATTGTAAGCCCATAATTTCATGTGCCAATGAAGATATCATACAGAAATATTTACCTTCACAAGAGAGTCCATGAGATGTGACCCCAGATAATGCCTCTCGACATACATTGCAGTATGTTGGACGTGCATGTGAGCAAGCATACCAGTTATGCATTCCTGAAAAATGGTCCATACTGTACTGGGTAGACTGCAAATTAAATTAAAAGAAACCCTAAGATGATTTAAACATAAATGTAACTTAAAATAAAACACTCATTTTAGCTTTATGAATCAAGTTTTGTGTCAATACAAATTTTATTAAATACAGAAAAACTGAGGTGTAAGAATGCCATTTTTTAATTCAAGTAAGAGAAAAAAGGTACTCAGTATAGTGGGGATACTGTAAGAAATGAATCTATATTTTTATCTAACATTACCTCAAAATGTTCACGATTCTGTACAGTTTTTAGTGCAGCAATCCAGTCTTCCATTTCTTTTCGGTTGTCAGCACATAAGATGAGTTTTCGACATGGGGTAATAACCTGTAAAGTAAGAACATTGTGTCCAAACCCTAGAAATACTAGAAGACAAGCGAAACAACAAACACCTACCTTATTAGTTTCTATTTTCAAAACGGCAGACTACTTTATCAGAGGTTCTGATTCTGGAAAGATAAAGTATCCTATGATACTCTAGATAACACTTTTATATAGTTTATGGAAACTGTCCAGAGTGATTCTGGGTAAATATGTCAGAGCAACATATAATCATAGTAGTGATATAAGTGAGCAGAGATATCCTACTGCGCACATTATCAGTCCCCCCCAATTCTACATAATACTTTCACTCAAACTCATGTCTCTGAGACATGAAGACACATTTACATACTATAATTAGAGTTTAAAACAATTTCTAAGGAAACAAAGTAGGCTATTTTAAAGGTTTACACGAAGAGATTTAAAACTCAAGAGATTATCTTGAGAACAGAAACAATAACAACTATAAAATCTCCAAGGCTATCCCTATCCTAACTTTGAACTGCTCCAAACATTATCCATTCATTATAATATAGCAGCATGATATCCTCCAAACCACTATTACCACCATAGGTATAATTTGCCTTGCTTCAATTGATAAATCCCTCATTTTCAAACAGTAAAATATTTGCATTCCTATGTTAGAAAAATAAATCCATTCTTCAGCTTTTGAAATATGTGCCATGCAATTTTCAATATATACAGATAAATAATGCTATGTGTTTTATAGATACATATACAAAGAGGGGTCAATGAAAGTAATGAGCTATATTACAGTATAATTACACATACACACATACACAACACACACACACACACAAGCTGTGGTGGCGTAGTGGTTAGAATGTAGTATTGCAGGCTAATTTTGCCAACTGCTAGCAATTCAATTGTGACCAACTTAAGTTTGATTCAGCCTTCCATCCTTCCAAGGTCAGTCAAATGAGGACCCAGATTGTTGGAGGCAATATGCTGACTCTGTTAATCACTTAGAGAGGGCTGTAAAGCAATGTGAAGTGGTATATAAGTTTAAGTGCTATTGCTTCTGCTTTAATTTCTCATTTGTATCACTATATATCTAATAAGACCTAACAGATTCTGGCTAGTTCCAAAATAAGAATGTATTTTAACTAACATGCACATATACACACTTTACAGAAACATACCAATATCCATTCTCTGCCTTCTGTTTTACTTTCCAGTCATCCTAAATATAACAGAACAATTGCTCTTCTGTGGCTTTTGCAAACAACTGGGAATCATAAACCTTACTTATCTAGGGAAAAAGGCAAGGAATCTGATCTACCAATAAATCCTGAACCATCTTTTGCTTATCTCTGAAGCAAAGAGCACAAGAACAATGCATTCTTTACTACATTAAAGTTTAAAGTACATTAACTATATATAGTACTTTAGTAGAAGCCAAACAATCTAATGTACTGAGCCATACATTAAATCAGCTATATGTTCAACCTTATAAAGACCAAAAGATTTCTTTATCCAAAGCTCTTGAGCTCCCAAAATAATAGTTAATAAGTATGAAAGTATAGATAGAAGGTAGCATTCTGTGAGGTATACATAACCTGCCATACAAAGACAAAGGTACAATGATATTAGCACACTAGGAATTTTAATATCAACCTGACAGAGAACAGTGACAATTCTCTGAATGCGTAACATTTTGTCTGTATTTTATAATTTATAATAATCACTAATTTCTAACTTCTGTAATTTATAGTAAGATAAATCTATGACAATATTTAATAATTTTTAAAGATAGGCTTTATCCCAGAATCAACACAATCTGGGTTTGAGTAGTTTGAGTTACTATGACCAACTTAATTTGGAAGTAAAATTATGTCTACAAAAGGCAAATTGTGCCTTTTCTCAATATGAATTAAATTAGTATCTATTTCCTATAAGGTGTTAATGAGGATGCATTAAAACAATTAAAGAAAAAGGTCAGTTAATGAAAAGAAATGAGATGGAAAATCATGCAGAATACATAAAACTGTGATGGAACATAGGAGTCTGGATTCCTAGGAGGGAAGAGGTACATTCCGGAACACTAAAAGGCAGCTCAGTTCAGATAGTTTGTGTGACAGAAAGAGGGTGAAAACAGACCCTTCCTAATAGTTTTCAGAGTTTATCCTTGATGTAGATAGTTGAATCCTTCTCTTTGGCAAGATTCTGTCTACAGGTATGGAATAATACAGTAATTTTCTGGAAGTGTTACTATGAGTGTCCCTGTTTTTTGGATCTGCCAAAAAATAGATTATTCCCAGTATAAGTTTATTAATGCACACTGTAGAGCACTAAGAGGCAGAACCAAGGGATTTCTAAAAGGGCCTGAAACAAGTTATCATCATCTCAGGCCTCTAAATCCCACCTCAGGCCACAGCCAAAACTTAGGAACTGTACATGTACCAAACAGGTAAATAAACACAGTAAGCCATCAAGCAGGCTAAAGGCAAACACAAGCATGCCACCAAAAAAGGAGTGTAGAAGGCACATTTTCCTGGAAGGTTACTTTATAGACAAGAAATGTTATAGATGAGATTAATCTCAAATGCAATCTGTGAATCCATGACAGGACATAAAAATAAACACGTACCCTTTATCGCTATTAGTCCCCCTTTACAGCAGACATCATACAGATACAGGAAACATACAGACAAAAATATCCTGCAAAATAAATACACAAAAAGGTTGATCTAATTAAGCAATCCCAAAATTAGAATGCATACATAGAAACAACAGTCTATATACAGACAGCTGAATTCCAATATGTTCTATAATAAGAGCCTACTATTTTGTTGGCTAGGAATGGTGAAGATTGTAGTCCAAGTCATCTGAGCGGCACTAAATTACAAAAGCCTGTACTAAGACAGGCCAAGTGAAAATATTTTAAAAATTATTGTACAGGAATATAGGCTAAATGTTTTCTTAGAGTATATTCTTATGATAAAAAGGAAAAATATTTGGAAGATTCTCCTAAAGTTAAAGAAAAATACAACCTATTTTATAATTATGTTGAACAGTTTATATTGGTTTAGTCAATGTTTTAAATTTGAAATGAATTTGAAATTGCTTCAATGATTTTTAATTTTTCTACTGACAGATTTTGTATAAGTTATATGTAAATATGATTAACAATCTGATTTGAATATAGTAACTAGATCAACCTTTATGTGTTTATAATGTACCAAAAATTGTCATCTATATATCTATATAACATGACAGAAACATATCAGATTCATGACAGAAGCACGTCAGATTCAAACTCATTGTCTTATTTGTCTTTCACTATCACACACACAGCGTATTTACAAATGCATGTAGAAAAACCAGTATGAAGCACAGAGAATAAAATATAATACAAAACATATATAACAATTATCATATTGCTTTCATGCTGAATTGCTTATTAAAGATAATATATTAAGTCAAAACATAAAGGCTGTTTTAGATTGAAGGCCACCAGCATCTGACACAAATTTTCTGTATACTGTCATTCTACCTCAAAGCAATCTCTATAAATATATTAAATAATCAAAATTTTCATATCATTGCTAATCTCATTAAAATAAACATAAGACTTTAAAGGAAAAAAACTGAGGAAAAATGAATAATTAAGAGCAAAATGTATACGCAAAATAACTTTCCTTATTTCCAAATGCTAGAATAATCTCTATGTTCCCCATTTTGTTTTTATTATTATTAAACCTCTTTTTAAATATTCATTTCCAAAGAGAATGAAATTTATGATTTATTGTCTCATTTTGATTCTGTCAAAATTTTTATCCACTGTGTCACTAGAGCTTTCCCAACATTTGTCAACTGCTCTGAACATTTTCAAAAAAGAAACAAAGGCTTTGATAAAACATGTAATAAAATGTCCCTTTATTGAGACAAATGACACAATGACCAAGAGACAGAAGACCAAATTAATGCTAAATTGGCTGGATCTAGATTAGCTTAAAATACATAGAAACATACCTCAAACGAACTTTAAGGTAGACAAAATGAATCTGCTAAAGATAGCTATCCTGATGCAGCCGGCTTCTGAAAACAGCCAACACTGGTGTGTGACAGAGAGTGATAACTATAGCTGTTTCCTCTTTACTCACATCCTGCTTGAACACAGCTTTATGTCTTATTTGTCGGTCTGGAGTTCCCAAGAATTTCAGAACTTTAAAAAGAATAAGCTATAAGTAGGATGTAAAATAAAATGCAATTCTGCAAATAAAATTGACTAATAACTTTTGGGTTTAACAACCATATTATTCATGTCAAAGTTAGACCTACACACTTCTGTTACTTCAATTATTATGCCGGTCCAATTTAATTTGTTTTTTTTATCAGTGAGGACATAAGGAAAATCAAGAAACTCTCACTAGCACAATTATAAAATAAAAGTTTTGATGGGATAAACACATCATCAAAATAGAAACCAAAGGGTAGATGGAAGCCTCTAATATAAAGCTAACAATTTAACTAAACATAGCATTAAAGATATATATACATCTCACAAAAAGAAAACAAAGAATGACAACAGTTGAGGCTTTATGTGTCACTATCTGAGAAATTCATCACAAGGAAAAGAACCCAATGATAAATCAGAGATTTGAGTCCAAAAAGCACATGAGAATGGAAATACAATCAATTCATAGAGTAAAAGTTGTGATTTGGAGAAAAATCCCAAAAGATACACACATAAGCACGAACTATTCAAATAAACAGAGGCAAAACTAATCCTGCCCTCCCATGGAAAAATTGATACATTTTGAATAATTTGTCCAAAGCACAAAACAACAAGTCTCAAAATAAACATTTCAGAACTAAAAACTACTGAACTGCCTACAATACATGCAAAAGCCCACATATTTTCCCCCCCTCCCTTTCCTCTTTTTAAAAAGAAAATTGAACTGGTTGGCTGGACACATAAAAAAATGAATTTTCAACCTGCTTCTTTCTTTTTCAGAGAATCTGCTTGATTCATTTAAGGCTCAGGAGAATGCTATTGAATGGAAGGAATGAAGGCACACAATTGAGCTTCACAACATATAAAAAATTAATAGGAGTACTACAGAACTCAGTTAAGTGCAGAGATGATGGTATACAGTGGTATCCAGAGATACAGATCACTGATCTTAAGCTTACTGTATCTAAATAATGCAAAATGTATGCTTTTATTACAATTGTCAAATGCATCTCTAAGAAGCTGGAACAGTTGCTAATTTGTAACCAGATTAGTTTTTAGTATAATATAATTTTCTAAAATATGATGCCAATGAACATGACATCCAAGGTATTTCTACGCAGAGAGATTAAAATATAAGAAAATAATTCACAATTTTATATAAAATTAACAATAAATAGAACACTATAATCCAGATATAAAAATGAATAGGCAATTGTAAATCATTTTCCTACAAGACCTTCATCAAAATGAAAAAAAAAATGCTATAAAAACTTCCAAAATATTGGATGCTTTGAGTTATATGTGAAATAAGCCTTATAGAATTTAATATTTTTACAAGCTATAACTTTTATCAATTATTTAATATCTTTTGCAAGAAACTTCAATTAACTATGGTATTTAATTACTTTTCTCTAGACTCAAATATTTCACAGCTCATCATCTCAATTATAGTTTATAGTTATTTCTGTAAAGTTAGAACTGGTGACTTCCTTTATATTGAGAACTTTAACTGAAGATCATCTATTAGATAATATAAGCCAAAAATATGTAAAACCATCTACTTTTCTCCTTCTTTTTGACAATCTCCTTTGTCCATGAGATATATAAACACATACCTATTTTCTTTTATTCTTGTTCCTCAACTTCTTTTCCCAGAGATTTGAATTGATCACACATACTAGGTTTTTATGATAAAGCTTAGGATGTCAGCTTGCCAATTTTTGCTACAGAACAAAGGGAATCATTTCCTTTCTGAAATACCAGCCTGCTTGATACCTATACAAACTTAATAGGGAAGGAAGGAAGGAAGGAAGGAAGGAAGGAAGGAAGGAAGGAAGGATCTGCAATAGAAAAAAGTCTGTCTGTCTCTCTCTCTCTCTCTCTCTCTAATTTTACTAGAAAAGAATTAAACTATTATTTAAGGTAGCCATTTTGCCTCTACTATCATGAATAAGTAAAGACATTTTCTTTACCCACAGGGATAAGAATGCGATCTGATTAACACTGCTCATCATAATGTCACAACTGCTAATGGGTAGGTTTATCTACAATAATTTTAAACATATCTAGTACAGCAATGCAGATTTCATTTTACACAGTATTTCATTTTTCTTCCAAAGATTACTTAAAACATAAGTAAACTTGCAAAACTGGCTTGACATGAAAAAAAAAGCAAGACAAAGAACGGTTTGAACAGGAAGTAATGAAGGTTCTAAAACATTACCTTTAGCTCTTTGAAAAACTCTCTGTACCTCACCTTAATTCGTTCAAATAAAATGTGAGACTATGTACAGCAGTAACAAGTGAAACAACTTTCTGATTGCTTCCTTGTTAATATTTATCATTCAGCCTCACCCATAGATAAGTCTATATTCCATATTGCTCTCTCTGCCTTGTTATCTTTTCTTATTTGCAGAAAAATTGCTGACATGAGACTGCATTCTCTGGGAAAAGAGCTCCCAGCTCAGGGTCAAATTCCTTTCTCTAGCTCTAAGATAATTTTAAACAAACTAAAGTTGTAACACATTTAATAAAAGCTTGATATAGTAATTGGAAAAGTGCAAACGAAACCGTCTCTTTCTAACCCAAACCTCAGAAAATGAAAATATGCTTTAGAAGTCCTTAAGCGTATTCTTCATTTTGAAACTTAAATTTCAGTAATGCAGCCAAATCAGTTTAATTTTTTAATGGATTTATATCTATCATATTCCTTTCAAATTAGTTACATGAGTAACCAGCACTTCTTGCTGAAGGGATCCTGTGGTCTTAATGGGTTAGTAAAATATTCCTAAAAATTACAAATACACACCAAATTCACTTGTTATGTAAGTCAGCACAGCCTTCAGGATGAAAGTCTCATGTCCTCTAGATATTTTGATCTTCAATTTCTGCAATTTTTTGCCACTGTCCATTCTGGCTGATGGAGTTCAAATGTAAAATAGCTGAAGGATATTAGATTGATTCTCCAGACAACCTCTCATGAGACTTAAGTAAGAATATACCAATCTTGTAAAAATGAAATATATTCTATTACTTCATCTTTTTTTAAAAAGGCAACCGCAATAAGGACTTTGTAGACCATATCTGGATTAACTTTATAGATTAGGAAGCACAATCTACTCATTTATTGAAGTTGATTCTGAATTGTTTGTTATATAAATTGCCATCACAAGTGTCAATATATGATATCTATATCGCTGGTTTTAGATGTTAAAATGCCACCCTGACATCCTTGAAAGAAGTCTAGTATACTCTAGGACAATGATGGCTAACCTTTTCGTCGTTGCATGCCGAAAGTGTGTGCACACACGTGCAATGCGCACATGACTCCCCACCCAGTACATGCGTGCATGCTCCCGTGCATGCCCCGCCACCTCTGCACATGCACGGACTCCCGTGCACGCCATGCCTCTGCACATGCACGTGTGTCTCCATGCCACACACCCCACACATGTGCAGTAGATACCCAGTAATCATTTGGCTGGCAGGAGGTGTGTGCGCATGCACAGTAGACCTGATTTGAGGCGATGGCTCACGTGCCAGCAGAGATAGCTCTGTGTGCCACTTCCTGCACGCATGCCATAGGTTCGCCATCTTGGCTCTAGGATAAAAGGACTACAGAGAGATAAGCCAAGTGACTCAAATAGGAAATGTAATATAATATAAAAACTGGCTCTTGTTCTATTTGCAGCTTTGCAAACAAAGTACAAACATATGCTGAGAACAAAGGAACAGAACAGAGTTCAGTGTTCCTGTTTAACATATGGAAACAAGCCTGCTTCCTCAAGGAATGTTAATCTCCTGATTTAAGTATCTGATTTAATTGTCAATATATTTCTACCTCATTATTACTCATCTGAGTACATTTGAGATAACAAGTAAAAAGCAAAATTGAACAATGCATAAATGCAACATCATAACAGTCTTTAGAAAGAAGTATCTCCATGATTAAAAAAATACATGTGCAATAAAAAGCAAAACTGAACAATGCAGAAGTCCAAAATCAAACAGGATTGTAATTGTCTTTAGAAAAAAGTACCTCGATGAGTAAAAAATAAACGTGCAATAAGCAGACTTTCTCCAAAGATTAATTACACCCCAAGAATCTGAAATTAAGAATCTCCACAGGTTATTATCAATAAATCCATAAACAGGGGATCTATATTTACTTTTACTTTTTTTTAAAAATAGCAATTTTTAATGTAACATTATTTAATTAAAATACTAAATGCAAAAAGCAAATAGTAACAATTCAACCAGCTTAAAACAGTGTCAAGTAAGAACTAACTTAAAGGCTTGTTGAAAACAAAAATATTTTCTAACGAAAACCAAAGGTGGCATCTCTGAGATCAGTTTAGACAACACCACTGAAAACATATAGTTTATTGATTCCCATTAACTGATATTTACATAACCTAATTCCATGAATATTAGAAATTAGGATTTGGTCCCTAACAGCAAAAGTCATTGTTCATTCTATTGATGTGTAGACCTGGTCATATCGAATGTAAACAATTTGTCTCATTCACAGATAATATGGAATGTCTTTCCCTTATATAAATAGTCCTCATACCTTTGTGTTTCAAAATCTGAATATTTCTTGAAGCACTACTGAACACAAAAATCTAATGAATTGATTTACCAATTCACAGTTTTTTTTTACTACAAGCTATAGTTTGGGAATACTTCACTATTAATACTATTTTTCATTTGAGAAGCAATCTTACTGGCATTTATTAGGGAATAAATCCCATTATTTAACATGTAAGGTAAATAGGGGCCATAAGTATTTAGTTCATTGTCTTGAATTACATATACATAAAATGCAGAATGAAAATGTAACAATAATAACGATAATGATGATGATGCTTTTTAGTAACTGGACCAGTCTATAGTATTATAATATCTCTCTGGAAGGGAAGAACAGGGAAGCACATAACATAGGGATGCACAAATTTTGTGGAGCTGTGACTCCTAAAATGGCATATAAATGTGTATGGTCCCCATCACAAATCAATTATTTCATTGGGTTAGTGATGGTCAAGAAATAGATAATAAAATAAATAAAATAATAAGATAAAATGGGAGATGACTCACAGTTCGACAACCTCCAGCATATTGTGTTTTTTTCTTGTTTCAAGTAATACATTCAATATAAGAAGCAAAACAGGTATTTTACCTTCAAGGAAATATACCCATCCTCTACCATTAATGTAAGAATGTGCCAGATGTATTGTTTAGTAGACAGGCATGATATTCCCCTGTGAAAAAAAAATCTGAAAAGTAGCCAGGGGTGCCTTTTTCTTCCGACCTCGCCCTCCTCCCCAAATCTGATCATCCCCCCCGCCAAACTGCCGACAGGACCCTGGAGGCACTGGATCCTAATTATCAACAGCGGGAAGGGAGTAAAAAAAGAAAGGGAAAAAAATTCAGAATTGTTAATCAAGGGAGCTCCGGTTCCAGTCGGGTTCCAGTCGCCGCTCCAAGCTCTTTTTTTTCCCCCCTCCGCGCGACTTCCCGCAGGGGAATTTTCCAGTAAATGAACATTGCTTTCGCTCTCTGGAGGGAGCTGCAGCCATCTGGCTCTTTCCACACCTCCGCATTCCCGGGAAACCTCTCCCCCGCCCGCCCCATGCCACCCCTTCTCCCACCTTCCCCTGCCTCGCAAGGTAGGTAGCCAAGCCGCTGTTCAGTTTGTCCGCTTGCCAAGCCAGCCAGCCAGCCAGCCCGCCCGCCACAGGGATGGGACTCCAAACTAACAGTGCTGCTTATTGAGTCGGAGGTGAGGGGGGAGGTAGGAATTAGGGGGAGAGGGGACAGAAGGGGTGAGGAACAGGAGAGGAGATGCCTTGGAAACCATGCAAAAACTTTTCTGCTTCTGATTACCCTCATGCTTACAAGTTGCAAAGGAAACACGGAACTCAAAACAGCCCAGCTGCTCGGCTCGGTTCGGGTCTTCCTCCCCACCACTTAAAAACACGGAGTTTTGGCGCTTCCCACGCTTGCAAGCGGAGAGAACTGGCTGGCTTTTTTCCACTGACCAGTGGCAACTTTGCAAAAAAAGCATGATGATGATGATGATGATGATGATGATGATGATGATGATAAAAGAAAAAAAATCAGAATTCCGATTTTAGTCGGAAGAATATCATGTATGGTAGATTAAACATACTGAGGAAAAGGCAAGAAGAAATAGAGAATACTACAGCAGAAATTTTTTTAAATGTTTTAAATGTTATAATTAATGCCAAAAAAATTTCTTACTGTTCGTTCTGCAGATAGAATTCTAATTCCAGGGTGCTCATTATTTGATAAACAATTTTATAGATATCAAAATCTACAGAAATAAATATTTTAACTCATTTAAATGAGGAAATTAGGTGTTACATTATAATGAGTACAAACTTCGTATCTGATCTTCATCTCTTTCTGTGCTGGAAAATATGGCATTTCTAATTGCATCTCTGGAAGCAATATTCTCTCTCATGTACTTTCAGTCCTAAAAAGCATTCATTTATACCATAACACAGAATAGAGTAACATGGTGAAATCCATCAATGTTATCACTACAAAGAAACAGAAAAAAACTGATAAACTTACTCTAAAATGTATGCTTCCTGATGGATTTTAATAATTAAGAACATGCGGTCTTCAGTAGTTCTGCTTCTCTTTTCTTAAAAAGGCATAATATCACCATCAATATTTTTCTACTTCATGTCCCTGAGTTTGGATCTTTCTTTTATAGCAAGTAAGTTATTAAAAATTTGTAACAATAACAGGAATATTTCTTCCCTCAACCAAATTCTGGAAATTCTGATTCAAACTGATTAGCTGTATTCTGAAGAAAAAGCAGGGGCAGAAATCTGCTGGCAGAAAATTCAGGACACAGGCACTGCTGTGAAAACATGTTGTTTCCGGTCTGTGGTAGAGTCAAGAGGTACTTCCTAGAAGAGAGTGCATGAAGACTTCCAGAGATGAACTCCACCCCTACCAGCAACACAAACTTCAGTTGTAGAGGGCAGTCCTAAGGGAATAAAAGTAGTAGACAACTCTGCCCTCTCATTGGCACAAGAGATTCTGTCTGTTTATATACTACGGGCCTTCATCTTTGGCTGGGAACATTTCCCCTGGATTTTCCCTAACCTCAGAGGTAGCAAATATAGATTTGGTCTTGATATTTCAATGAAAGTAATTCAGAACGATGAAAATGACATTCCTGGTAGACAAAAGGCTATCAACACATTTCCTCAGTTTTATTTTTAAATAATGATTTAATGGGAACAGAAGAAGTTAATACTATCCAGTTTATGAAAAGTAGATATATATATTACAGCTGTTTATGCTTTAAAAGTAATATTAACTAAAGAGACTTCTTTAATAAAAAGCTTATTCATAAAGTGTATTCAAGTATTGAAGCAGTATCTTTTTTTCAGTTCAGGTGGAGCCCTGAAAAAAGTCAGGATGCTTTAATGAATATTAGGTTCATTAGATGTGAAGATACACACACACACACACACACACACACACACACACACAGAAGCAACACTGAGAACAATTTCTTTTAAAATTCCACAAAATACATAGAAAGTATTTCTTGTATCTTCCTTATATCCTATCTTATTTTCTCTCAACAAAATGTTAGTTTTCAGGCTGAGAAAAAGAACGTTGTCTTACCTGAATGCTGCTTATCATCACGACGATGGAGAATCCATACCTGGATTGACACATGCTATTCTGCCTGGAGACTGAGTCCATAATTTTAGCCACACTCCTTGTCAACTGTCACTTTCTCCAGTTCATGACAAAGACATGGCATCTGAAGGACTCGTTGGTGACGCTAGCTCCTCCAGTGTTACTGTGCTGGACGAAGGACCTAACTGCCTCCTAGGGAGGGAATGGATTCTCCATCGTCGTGATGAGAAGAAGTGTTCAGGTAAGACAATACTCTTTCTCCAGCACAGCGACTGGAGAATCCATAGCTGGGACGTACCAAAGCCTGGTGTTCCTATGGGCGGGGACTGTGGTTCTGAGTGCCCCCTAGCTACATGCACTCGCTGAAGTACCCTCCTCCCAAAGGCAGCCTCAGCAGAGGCAAAGGAGTCCAACTTATAG